CACCCTTCTCTGGAGTTGAGCTTACGCACTGACTCCTGGCTCTTCCCCTCCTTGCATTCTCTTTGCCTGTTCCATCGCACAAGGAGCAAACATCACCGCCCTCACCCCCTCACCACCAGCAAAGCAGAGCAACCAACTCCTCAAGCAGTTTGTGTTTCTTACAAAGGTTGAGAATTTTACTTCCTCCTCCCAACAGTTGACCCAAAGTTTTAACTTGTGGATGGTGGCTTTTGAAAGAATTGGGATAATTTTATTCACAGGAAGTTATCAAGAAACATGTACAGGGAGGCCCCGTGTACCCTTCACCCGTTCTCCCCAGCATTAGCGTCTCTTGTAACTGTGCTACAGCACCAAGCCAGGACGCTGACATTGTTAGAACACGGAGCTTCACGCTTCACCGGTCACGATACATGCACTGGACTTAGTGCCATTGGGCATCTATGTTTGGGTAGATCCAGTCTTCATGGCGGTCTGCTGTCATGGAAAAAGGACAAGCTTTGGGGCCAGACAAAACTGGGATGTGCCAGGCGCTGTATTGCGTGACTTTCATGTACCTTCTTTCATCTTCACGACAGTCCTGTGTCAGTCGCGAGTGTTTTCCGCTGAAGGCCCATAGTGCCATACCAATAGTTGTGAGCAATTACGGCTGGTGCAGTGGCACAGTGACACTGACAAAAATCCAGGCTTGCTTCTGCCCTGCATATTCGTGCACACACATGTCTATGCATGTGTGTGTGGGGGGTGGTTCTGTAAAATTTTATCACGTGTAGTTTTAGTTTTATGTAACTAGCACAGTCAAGATACAGAATTGATCCATCACCACGAGGCTCCCTTGTGCTCCCCCTTCGTAGCTCCCCCCACCCCTCACCCCGGATGGGTGGCTTTTGAGTGGCAGCCCCCAGCCACCTGCCCTCCTCCTGCCCAGACCTGGACCCTGAGCCTGCACTGACTCAGCCTGGCTGGTGTCGTGGTGACGTTCTAGTGTTCTCTGCTGATGAGGGGTCTGGCATGAGCCTCGCTTTCCTAGGCCCAGCGGCTAGTGAACCAGAATTGAGCCTCTGGGGACCTGTGTGCCCACAAAATTATAGTCTGCTCCCTTTGACCCAGAAGAAGCCCCTCAGATTGCCAAGTCCACGGAACTGGGCTTCCTCCCTGCTCCTCGTTCTAGCTGCGGTGGCTCGGTCTGAATTTCACCCAGTCACCCCTGCCTGCCGCTCCACTCCCCCCAGGGCTGGACCTTGTTCCCTTTCCTCCCCTTTTCCCCCAGCCTCCAGCTGGGGCCTCACTTCAAGACACTGCTTCTGTAGACTTGCTGTCGCCTCTCGCCGCTGGTACCGCCTCTGTGCTTTACTGGCTGTTCCCACTGCTTACAGTCTGCTCTTCCCTTCAGGGATTATTTTCTTTTTGCTAAAGGGATATTTCTCAGTTCTTTTGTTGAGGACCTGTGAGTAGTATGTTTTTGGCCTGTGTTTAACAAAGGCTTTTTTGGTTCACTGATAATGGTTTATTTAACTAGATAAAAACTTTCAGGCTCACACCTAGGTTCCTTAGCACTTTGAAGCGCTTCCTTCTGTTGTGGCATCTGTTGTTGACGCGCAGCCTGTCATGGGTCTGCCTCTCCTTCTTCTGCAGGTGATCGGGTTTTCCTCGGCGACTTTCTCTGTGTCCGCCTCAGCACCGGCACACAGGTGGCTGCTTTGTTCCAGCCTTTGTTCAGGAGCAAGGAGCACTGTCGTGGCTCACACCTCCTGTTCTGTAGTGTCTGGTGGGTCAGAACGGAGCATCAGGAGAGGCGGGTGCTCACGGATCTCCAGCGTTTCACCAGCGTCACAAGGAGCAGATTGTCTTATTATCTTGCTCAGGACTCGCGTCCTGTTCTCCGTTCTCTGACTTTAGAGCTCCTGTTAGACATATCCCGCACATGCTTTATGGCTCTTGGCTTTCCTTTCAGCTTTCTTTTATCTGTTTCTCTCTGTGCTGTATTCTTGGAAATTTCTGTAAGTCTATCTTTATAAAAAAATAATTTATTGAGGTGAAATTCATATAACACAAAATTAATCATTTTAAAGTAAACAATTCTGTTGCATTTGACACATTCACAATGTTCTGCCATCCCCACCTCTGAAACATTTCCATCGCCCTCGAGTAGGACTTCGTACTCGTTAGCAGTTTCTCACCATTGCTGCCTACCCTCAATCCTTTGTAACCACCCATCTGCCTTCTGTCTCTGTGGAGTTATCTAGTCGGACATTTCATACACGCGAATCAGTCATATAACGTGTGGCCTTGTGTCTGGGTTCGCTGAGCATCGTGCCTTGGAGGTACGCCTGCACTGTAGCGTGTACCAGTACTTCACTCCTGGTCATGGCTGTGCAGTACCCATCCTGTGAGGCACCCGGTCTTGTCTGGCCACTTACCATTGGTCGACAGTGGGCTTTCCTACCTTTGGCTATTATGAGTAAAGCTGCTGTAAACTTACGTGTGCCTGTACTTGTTTGAGTCCCTGTTTTCAGTTCTTTTGGGTGTATACCTAGGAGTATAATAATTTTATGTTTAACTTTTAAGGGAGCTCCCAAACTTTTTTTCACAGTAGCTGTACCATTTTACCTTCCCACCAGCAATGTGTGAGACTTCCAGTTTCTCCGCATCCTCACCAACATTTCGTTTTCTTTTTTTTTTTTTAATTGTTTTTATTATAGCCATCCTAGTGGGTGTGAAGTGGTACCTCATTATAGTTTGGTTCGTATTTCCCTGATGTCACATTGAACATCTTTTCATTTGCTTGGTGGCCATTGTGTATCTTCTTTGGAGAAATGTCTATTCAAGTCCTTTGCCAATTTTTTGTTGGGCTTTGTCTTTTTATTGAGTTGTAAGAGTTCTTTATATATTTTGGATATCAAGTCTGTCTTTTAGTTCACTTAATATCCCCTCAGTAGTCTTCTATTTAATCTACCTACTTAGTTTCTTTGTTATTTTTATGTCTAAGTTTTTTCTAGGATTTCTAGTTCTTTCTTTTTTACAACTGTCTAATGTTTAATAGATGATATCTGCCCCCGCCTTATTTGAGGATTTTTAAATGTACCAGTGCTGTCTGTAAGGTTCTTCAGATTACTCTGTTACCTGTCCTGATTTGATTGTGAATTCTCCCTCGTGTGGGTCTGGTGCCGTCTTGCATGGTGTGGATTTCCTTCTGGGCTTTGTGCTCTGTGGTTCTTACTTGCAAGGCCATCTCGTGGGAGTTTTCTCCTCCATGTTCTCTGTTACGGGTGGCCTCCCTGATAGGCACTGCAGAGCCATCGCCCCGTCCGCCGTCCCCAGTGCCGTGGTTCCAGCTCGTCCTTTGCACTGGCTCGGCGCAGAGCCGTCATTGGTGCAGGTGGTGCAGAACAGCAGACCCAGCACAGGCCAGGTCTGGTCTCCACAGGTGCCTGCTTCTGCCTCAGGGTCTACAGCATTTCTAGCCACAGCCCTGAGCAGACGTGGATGTTCCAACTGCAGATAAGAGTGAGTGGCACTGGGCCCTACATGCCCGGGGTGTGTGGCTTTGGCCCATCCTCAGTGGGCACGAAGAGCCTGGTCCTCCTGGATCCATCTGCCTTGGCTCCCTGTGGGCTGTGGACAGGGCTTCCGCCTCCATTTACTACTGTGGGCCCCCCGTCCCCCTCCAAAAACCTCTCCCTTCTTGGTCCATAGGAATTTCTCTTCTGTTTTGAAGAGTGACTGTGTTAAAATACATTTTTCTTTTCATTTTATATTTTGAATTGAAAAGTGTTGGGATTTGTCCCCACATAATAAGCTTTTCCCCTCAATAGATTAAAAAAAGAGAAAATTTAAAGTAAGACATAAAATCTTTACAAATAAAGCTGATCTTAGAGAATGTGGTCTTTATCTGTAGGCAAGTGGATATCCTAATTCTGAAGTCTGGAATCAGGCTAGACTGGGAAGGGCTCCTGCCAAAGGGACAAGTTCTGCTTCTGTAAACATCGTGGAGGAGCAGAGCAGATTGTGTGCTTCCTGTGGACAGCTTGTTTCCAGGAAAAAGGAAAAAGGGGAGGCCGGGCTACCCACGTCTGTTTCCTCTTCTCACATTTACCAGTCAGATTCCCGGGGGGAACCACGAGTAAGGGAGCAGAGAGGCCAGGAAGTGTCAGGCTCACCGAGACTTGTCTCCCTGAAGGAAACCATCAGGAGTGGTCTTGCCCGTCCTGAAAGCGGGGGTGCTCAGCATGCGCACAGTCCCTGCCCCGTCCTGGCTTCAGTGCCTTGGATGTGGGGCTCAGGAAGGTCCGTGTCCAAGTTTACCAGCTCTTTGGACATCGTGACTGGGCTGCTGGCCGCCCAAGAGGGGCTGAGCCCCTCTGCCCAGTCTTGCTTTCAGATTAACTTTTCTTCAACCTCTGCCCTTCCCCCTTCCTTTCAAAGAATGGCCTCAGAGAAGAACTTCCCCAGTGAGCCTTGCGCTGGACTTGTCTTTCCTCCCCATCAAAGCAGCGGCAGGCCTGGCCCAGAGAAAAGAGGAAAGCAGGCTGCTCCTGCCCGTCTCTGGCCCAGCTCCCCCGGCGGAGGGCGGAGGGCACTCCATCTGAATGTTAGAGCAAAAGCTCAGAATAATGGAGAATACGCTTACATGTGTTGGGCTTTGTTGGAGACAAAAGCAAAATTGACTAAAAGACATTAACACTGAGATATATCTTAGCAAAAAGGAGCGTTTTTAAAAATTACATTAAAAATTAATACTTCCATTTCTTCCTCAGTGTTATGAATGGCTCTATAAGCAAAGAATAATACATATGTTACAAGTTTTGTTGTATCTACTTCCATTTGCTCATATCTCCCATGGTTCTTCATTTTTGTTTATTACTATTCCTAGCAAGTTCTACTCTTCATTGCCTAAATTCTTCATTAGCTAAGACTGTATAAATTGGGGAGCCCAGTGGATGAGGTTTGAAGTTAAAATACATTTGCCTAACTTAGCATGCTCTGTCACCTTCTGTTACAAGATCATTCCCAGCGACCCCTTCTGGGTGCCGACCACTGAGGAGGAGTACCTGCACTTTGGGGAAAAGGCCGACTCTGAGAATCAGGCCCGGAAGTACATGAACGCGGTGCGAAAGCGGAAGGGGCTTTATGTGGAAGAAAAGATCGTGGAGCATGCAGAAAAGCAAAGAACACTCAGCAAAAATAAGTAGCTACGACTACTGGTGGATTATTTTCTTTATGATGAATGAAAAAGTATCATCAAGTTTTAATATTGGGAAAATTTCTTTTTGCTGCGTTATCTCTGTGCATTCACTTTAAATAAACTTGATCCATAT